TCACACTCCGACTTAAAGCCCACCCCAAACACTTTGAAAGCAATTTGGCAATAGTTCAATCTATCTCCCCCTCCCTGGCTCTCTCTCTCTCTCTCTCTCTCTCTCTGCCACCATTTTTCAATTCATTCACCAGTGGGTGAAATTTCCTAATGAATTAATGGATCGCAATGAAGGTAAGATAGATATTCATTCATATGTATTATTAACAGTTGACGATAAAATTTTGTTTCTAAAATTGTAAAATGAATCTCATCTATTTTCATGATAATTGTCTCCCTGAACATTTGCCACCCACTCAATTATTTACTCTTAATCATTAAATTTTGCTTTCTTCTTGTACCGTGTTGATAGCATGATAATGATATAACAATTCATTTGGTTCATCATAAGATATTAATCAGAAACAATTTAACTACATTTTCATTGGGAACGAAAAGTGCCTACAAGACAATAGAGACTCTGTAATATTTCATGATGATGATGATGATATAAAATTGATGCTATGAAACTAATAGAGTCCAAATTAGACAAAAGGATAAACCTAACAACAATTGGAAAATGTTTCAATTCTAGATTTTCACAAGAGTCAGAATTAGGATTGATGATGAATACGTAATAATGATAATCATCAGAATAACGGTAATAATCATCAGGATGATCATGATGATGATAAAGTTATATGAAAAAAAAATTACCAAATGCATTGAAATGAAAATTGATGTCAATTGTTTGCATTATAATGAGTTTACTGGTAAATTTTTTTGCTACTTCCCTTGATTGTTATTTGCAAAATATATTCATTAAATCAATGATTCTAATCATCCTCATCATTGTATGGATATAATTCAGTTTGAATTCAATGTAGATACAGGGAGAGAGAGAGATACAACTATGTTTTTACACAATGGGAGCCTATGGAAAGATAAAATTTGATATATGAAGTTTCAAGGGATGACATGAATTAGGAGGAGGAGTGGGAGGAAAAGGTGAGCGAGAGAGAGAGAGAGAGTGGGATGAAGATGATAAAAAAAGAAGAATCAAAAGATGTAACTGATGATATGTGAGATGATGAAGATAGAGATGAAATGAGAAAGATGAAAAAAGAAACGGAGATTTTATCTTCACTCTCTTTCTCTCTCATTTTCATCTTCATCATTACAACAACCACTTTTTTTGCCAATATTGACTTTTCATCTAATTTGCATCTAAACGGATCCAGGATCACATTGATATATGCAAAGTATTAACATCATCCATTGAGAGAGAGAGAGAGAGAGAGAGAGAGAGAGAGAGAGAGAGAGAGAGATGATACTTTGATGATTGAAGTGATATTGATAATATAATGAAATCTTAGTCTTTACCTTTATCATCATCATTATCATCTTAATATGATCATTTGTTAATTTACAAATGATTTGAAATGTTAATTGTGATGATAATAGATGTTGGCACTGAGAGAGAATGAGAAGTGAGAGAAAAAAGTTGATTTCTTTAATGAATAATAATATTTGATTGAAAACAATTAAGGTTCAACTTTATACTAATTGAATCCAATCAATCAACACTAAAAATCGTCAAACAATCAAGTTGAACAATTGAAATTTTGAGAATAATATTATCATCATCATGGAGAATAGAAGGTGAAATAAGAGAATGAGGAAAGAAAAGTTCTGATTCTTTTTATGCAAATCATTTTTTTCCTCTTATCATGCAAAGTTTTCTCCATTTCTTTTTCCACTTTCACCTTAATTTCTCAATTGAAGCTAATTACAATTTGCAATTAGCAATTGAATTTTCCCAACAATTGTTTTCTCAGTTTGTTGTCTCATCTAATAAATACAAGTATCACTATCCCTCTGTAAACAGAGAGGGAGAGAGTAGGTTAACCTGAGTGGGTGGATGAAGGTGATAACCAGAGTAAAATTCAATTCTTTTTTCTTCATGGATGTTATTGTTTCTCACCATGTAAGATGTTGTCAAACTAATCAGTTATCGTCATCATTTCCATCAGTAGCTAGAAGGAAAAAAAGTGAGATGAAGATAAAGGTTGAGAAAAAAAATTCTGACACAGAATTAATTCCATTTTCAAATTAGCAATTCTTTCCTAATCATTGACTAATTATCGAGATTGAATTCAAGTTTTTTCTCTTTTCTGGTAAATTCACATTCTATTGTCATCATGTGTCAAAGTCTGAGGCAATTTTTGTATTCAAAGTGAATTTGGAACTTTTTTCTCAACAGAATTTTCAAATTCTCTTTTTTTTTCTTGGCCTTTTCTCTTATTCTCACTTTGAATTCAATTGTGAATCTCTTTCAGCTAATCAGCTGAAGTTTTTTGTCTTTACAATCTTAAGATTATCTTTGCTTGTCATCATTTATCGGACATTCATTTGGGTTTAATTGTGATTAAATTAATTGATAAAGTGATTTATCAGGTACCCATTTAAACCAGAAACTATTACAATCAACTGGTTAGGCTAATCATTTGTAGTATGACAAATTACACATTGTACAATGTAAACAAAGTGTATGGTTGTAGTTACAGTTGTTTGATGATCATTATCATCATCATCATGATAATGATTATCATCTTGAAGATGAAATTATTAAATTTGTCGATCAGTCAACAAGCAATTGATATTAAACAATGTTGAACAATCAACCATAATAGTTGACATGAAAGATATATACAAAAGTGATTTATATATTATCGGTGATAACGAGAGGATATGATGATGATGAGCAAAAAGGGATGCGGAAGATAAATAAATAAAGAGAGAGAGAGAGAGAGAGGAAACATCAATATTACACTTGATACTGATTATGGTTTATTACATTGGGAAGATACATCAAAATATTATATGTACACAAATTGTCAATGTCTTTTTATGACTTTCAACATGATGAGGATGCTAATGGGGATATTTATTATCTAATATATTTATATTGCATCTCTCTCTCTCACTGCATGATCATATGCAACATAGTGGGATGGGGGTATTTATGTAATATGTATATTCAATAGTATTGCATTTTTATTGTCACAATTATTATGGATTAGGTTTTTTTTCATGGATCCATGTTAAAGCTTTTCCCATCTTTATGTGTATTTGTTTGGTCTATTACAATGCTGCATGTGCCTCGATGTGAATAATATAAAATGAATATTAAATTGATGAATAGTGAAGACGGAAAAAAATTGAGAAAGAGAGAGAGAGAGTATCATCATTTCTAGGTGATAATATTAAATGCTTGTAAATAGTGTCACTATTATGTGTACAAAGATGATGGATACATACACTGCAGTTATATATATATTGACTGAGAAAAAAAGTTCTAAATTGATAAAATGATATTCCTTGTATTAGATATGTAATGAAATTTTATCAACATGATTTTCATCCTATGGATTGAAATGATGAGCATTATATTGATCCAGGGAGAGAGTTGGACCCACAGTCATATATTAAATTTAATTCGCATGATTATTGTTATTGTTATTATATTTGGAACTCTCTCTCTCTCTCTCTCTCTCTCTCTCTGCTCACTTCTATTTCCATATGTAGATGATGAGGATGATCATTTGGTAAACAAAGGTTTTAACTCTATGCTGCCACTTTTGTGTTTCTCTCTCTCACAAAGACAGAAAACCCGATAAAAATGATACCTAAAGGAGTGGGAGGACGATGAAGATGAAAAAGATGCATATTTATATCCAATCATCACCTTTCCATTTGTCCTGAGGGCAAAGAGATGATGAGGATGCTATCAAGTGTTAACTTGAATGAAATTAACAGTTAGAGAAAATTATATATTCCCAAACTTTATCTTCTTCATCATCAATATGATTACTTTTATTGATTTATATGGATATTTATTTAAATCTATTGGATGGAAATTGTTTTGAAAATGACAGAAAATTGTTATTCAGTTGATGACAGTTAAACTAATAATAATAACAATTAAATTAATATTTATTTCCCATTCGAAACCAAAAATAATAATAATAAACTTTTCTCTCTCTCTCTTTGCAAATTGTGAGAAGCCAAAAAAAAGAGGCAACTGTTTCCGTTTCCAGATTGGAAAAAGTTGTGACACAATTTTTCATTTTGTTTCCATTGTACTAAAAATTGGCTTTAAAGAATAATAATAAAGAAAATAACCTTTAACCTCTCACCTTTAATCTTTTGTTAGGTGTCACTTATTATTCAATAATAATAAAGTTTTCAAGTCAAGAGGTAAAAGTTATGTTCAAGTGGAGTTTCATTCGTTGGTGGATAGATGGCGCTACTCGATACGATGGTGAAAAATGTTCACAATTGATTGTTAACCGATCATGTTGATTGTACATTTTGTGTTTGCAAGAAAAATATTGGGTTGAAAAAGAAGAAAAAAGAACAGAATTTATCTTCCTCTTCTTCTTCTTATGGTTCAAGGTGAAAATTTTCATAGGTAGAGAGAGAGAGAGAGAGAGAGGAAGAGAGAGAGAAAGAAGAAAGGCAGATTGACCACTGTCCATAAAAATCGAACGAAACGATAACAATCGAAATTCAACCTTTTTCTTCTCTCTCTCTCTCCTTTTTCCATTTTTTTCTTTATATTTTAAAAGGGAAAAAGGCAAAAAAGAAAGGGATGAAACAAAGAATATAAAGAAAGATGATAAGAGAGACAGAGAAAGAAAGAGAGAGAGAAAGGGAGAGAGTAAATGGGAGGTTGAAGGAAAGAAGTCGAAAGAAGAAAAGAAAGAGAAATGAAAGAGAAATATTTTATTCTCTCATTTTTTTGTCTTCGACAGACTCCATTGAGAGAGAGAGAAAAAGAGAGAAAGAAAGAAAGAAAGAGAGAGAGATGAATAAATCAGCATTGACTTCGGAGATGTAGGCGGTGAGAAAAAGATGAAGATGAAGGCTTAGACTCCTCCCGAATAGTGCACTCATTGGTATGATAAGAAAAGAAAGAGGAAAAAGGAGGAGTTTATAGGAAAGAAAGAGAAAATGAGAGAGAAGAGAGAGAGAGAAATGAAACAGAAATGAAACTTATCATAGTTTTATATTATATGATGAGAAACCAAGAGAGAGGAAATTAAAGTGTTTTAATCAGTATAAGAAATATAATATTTGTCCACCACCAACATCATAATCATCATCACCATAATTTACCACCTTCATCATTAATTATCATCATTCATATTCATCATAATTAACCATCAAATTAATCATCATAATCCATTCATCTAAATATCAACAACAACAACAACAACAACAGCAACAATTACAACTATAATCAAAGAGCCAAACAAACAACAGCAACAATTTAATCAACATTAGGATCAAACTTCATCGCAATTATCAAATTAAACTCACCTTTACCTAGAAATCATCATCATCAACACCATCAGAATCATCATTAGCATCCTCATCACCAACAGCGACAATATTGTGATCATTTGCAACATAATTAACTACAACAGTTAATCAGTGTGTTAATTGTTTACCAGGATGCCAAGAAAGAAACAGGAACAACCTAAACGATCAGAATGTAAGTTTCTAATTTTGCACAATTAAAATTGTTAACCAAAGTGATTCAATTGTAATTTAAATTAAATCAACCATTAATTGGATAGTGTTAATTAATCAACGACAATTCGCTTCTATTGATATAAATATTTATCTTCATATATTCTTGGATAACCAATGTTATTTTATTTTTCGTTGTTCGATAATATCTTTTGATTGTCCATTGAAAATGAGTCGAAATTGTTTGACCATTTTTATTGGTCGCCATCTTCATCTTTTCATCTTCCATTTTGTTTACTTCTTAAAAGCGATAGATATACAAATGGAAGAGAGAGAGAGAGAGAAGATAAATGTTTTTTTTCTTCTTCATCTTCTCTTCCAGAGGCATTTTCTCACTTTCTCACTGTCGTTATCTTCTTCCACCTTGACCATCATCTCTCTCTCTCTCTCTCTCTGTCTTTTCTTTACTGTGTCCAGTTAAAAGTTTTAGCATTAGAAAAATGGACTGACCAGTTATCCCAACAAACAATTGCAAAAGGGACAATAATAATTACTAAACGTTTCTAATTGTTTACTCATCTTCATCTTAACTGCTATTGATATTTTCATTATGAAAGTGACCCATGGAGTGAGAGAGAGAGAGGGAGAGTCAGATGATAATAAGGAAGAGACAAAGGTGGGAGAAATGAGATATTACTGAAGATACATAAATATATTATTTTTATGATCGAGGTAAAGGTAAAATAGAATAGAATTTAAGAGAAAAAAAAGTTCTAAAAACGATAGTTCGATTTTACTACTTGCATAAAGAGAGAAAGAGAAAAACTTTTACTACTCACAAGCCCAATTACCTTTTAAGTGGTCGATCTTCATCTTCTCTCATCTTCATCATCTCATCTTAAGGTAATATACTTATGCATAGATCGTCATCTTTATCTATTCGACTGTATTTTAAAGTGTCAAAAGGTTCAATCTAGTTGATAGCTTTTTCTGCTCACTCACCATTTTGTTCATCATCATTTTCCTTTTCTCACTTTTCCTCTTCTTCTCTTTCATATTCATATCCCACCTTCTTACCTTTTGACAGATTGATATAGATATTTATTTATATCTAAATATGTACTAGACTCATGGGGAGAGCTAAATGTTTATCTTCCTTTCTCTTTTCTTACCTTAATCTTCCTATTCTTCCCTCATCTTCTCACTCATCATCATCATCTTCTTCTTCTTCATCTTCCTTATCTCTCTCTCACTTTATTTTTCAATCTTCTATTTTTGCTCCTTTAGTTTTTTTGTTGATGTTCATTCATTTTGAAATAACAACAACAACAACAACATGAGCACGATTATAACGACACCAAACCCCGACACCGACGGTGATTGCGACCTGAATGATTTTAACACGACAGTCAAATAAGATATCATCATAATCTTTTATCATCATAATATACATTAGAAAAGAAAGGCAACAAGAAGAAGATAAAAGATGAGATAAAAATACTTTAAGAAAGAAAGAAGAGAGAAAAAAGTTCGAACTTTGCTCTCTCTTTCTCTTTCTTCACTTCCTTTTCATCATCATCATCATCAGCCTTCTCATCTTCTTCATCTTATTCATCTATTTCTCTCTCTCATATAACTGTTGTGTTGTTGCTTTTTCCTCATTCGAAGGCAAACAAAACAGATATAATACATTTCCTATTATCTCATATAAACACCAATAGATTTAGTTTTTTTCACTTCGGCCATTTTGACCTTAAGGCCTAATACACATATAAGGGAACGGATTAGAAGACGTTTTTAAAGTGAGTCGTGCGAATCTAAACACACAAGGATAACACATATTGAACCAACTGAGGTTACATGTGTCCACTTGAGTGAACATCATCATCATCATATTCCTCATCTTCCTTTTGCATCATCCGAAAGAAGACCGAAGAGAGAGAGAGAGAATTTAATTTTCTCTATTATCATCTTTCAATATTATATTATTATATTATCGATGATAAAGATAAAAACATTTTCTATGGAATATGTTTTACTTTTTATTTTCTAACTCCATAAGAAACAGATTAACATAGAGAAACACATTATCATCATCAAGCAAATTTGATGATAATGATGATGATAATAATAATATGAAAACCAAACTGACACCATGTTTTTTAATCTGAATAACATGTAATAATAATATAACAAGTTCAGTCAAGTGTAATTCAGCTAATCTCATATCCAAAAAACCATTATAATCATTTTGTTTGCTGATTGTACTTTCCCTTTATAGGGAAGTGTTTATACATTTTTGAGGATGATAAATATACAAAAAGATGATGCTGATTATCAACAACAACGGAACAATCATTTTTTTTTTATCAATTTATATATTTTACATTTAATTTATATTCAATTTACATAAATAAATCTCTCTCTCCCTTCTAACCTTTCACCCTCTTTTCCCTCTCACCCTAATTTCACCTTTCACCTTTTTCTCAACCTTTTCCTCCTCCCTCTTCCCGAGGGGGTTTATTGTTAAAAGTTATATAATTATTACTGTATATACATTTAATACATGATTGAATATCCATTATGTATCATAAAGCGGCTGAAATCATAGGTTAGATTAGACTAGATTAGATTTAGAGTAAAGAAAAGTTTTCCCTCTTCTAGTGTTTGTATGTCAAACTGATCATTAGTTGACTGTTAATCATTTCTCATTTTCAATTATGATTAATAGTGATTTTAAACTTTGACTTGTGATTATTATGATGTTTGCAAATAATTTACACCATAATAATGATGATGAAAAGTTACCAATGGTACGATACATGTACTTGCATTCATTTGGAAAAAGATTAGAGATTAAGAAAAAAAAACCTAACCTAATCTAACCTAATCTTAAATGTTGGACTTGGTCCAGTTTAAATCCATTGTTATGGATTAATTTTTTTTCTCTACTTCTGTTGTAATATTTCAATCAATTGTTCAATTTGCTCTTACTTTCTTTTACTAGCCTCCCACTCACCTACCTAGTTGTTGCCCTCCTCCTCTTCTTGTCCTTTCATTAAAATCTTTTGATCTCTTGACATGGTCATTAACATGTAACACCAATCAAATTTTACTCTTGGTGATTATATCCTTGTCTTCGTGTAAAAATTAACAATTGTTAGTTTTTATACTCATTCTCATCTTCATTATGCAACATTTTTATGCCTTCATCTGGTTACTATACCCGACGATGACAACGATAACTGTTACGTGTGTCGCTTATTGTGTAATATATGATATGTAGGTCAACTAAGTAGCATCATCAGCCTCCGTCTCCTCCCTTACTCTCTCTCTCTCTCATTTTCGGCTTCTCTTCATAATAATAATCATCATCATAACAATCATCTTTTTCTTTTCTTTTTTCTCTCTTCACTTCCATTAAGTACGCTTCGCTCTCTATGCGGTGATAATTAACAGCTCACTGAACCACTTAACTTTCCTTTCTTCATTCTGATCTTCAACTCCTCCATCATCATCATCTTCAATACCATCTTTATCCTTACTATTTCCCTTTTTTTTCATCATCATCTTCTTGTTATTATTACAACTCTCAACTTCTGCTTGTTTTGTTTTCACTCCCTGATAAACATACAAACATATATATTCAATAGCAACAACAACAACAACAACAACAGTAATAATAATAATACCACCCCACCAACCATCACCACCCACCCTCAAACAATATAATAACAATAAATGGTAACACTGACAATTTCATAATTTGAAATTTATTACCCTGTTATTTACCGTAGCGATCATGAAGAAGCTGATGATGATAATGAAGATGTAATAATAATTTTTTTTGAGTCATAGTTATTATCATCATCTCAGTGAGCAGCATCCTCATCAATTGTAACAATCTCTCTCTCTCTCTCTCCTTGTCCAATGTTATTTATTTAGATAATATAGTTTTTCATATATCAATAAATACATTTATATGTATATACAACATTCAATGATTGTTTACATTACGATTCCGGATTCTGACAATTGGTATTATTATCAACATTTATTATCAACATTAAACTGATTAGATAAACAAGAGATATTAATGATTAAGGGATTGAGGATGAAATTGCTTGAAATTAGCTAAATTGAAATATCCATCTAATTTGTATTAATACATATCACTAATATGTAAACATTGAATGAAAAAAGGGAGAGTGTAAAAAAAAGGACACGCGATCATCATCATCTTCATCCGCATCCCATTTTAGCATCTTCATCTTGATCATCATCCTCATCATTCAATGATTTTCTGATACAAAAAGAAAAGGATGAAAATGATTATCATCATCATCTTTTTTTTGGATTGAGTTTTTTTTTCTTGTTTACTTTTCTGTACAAATATCTTATTGTATTTAGCATTCATTTTATTATCAATCTGTTGTATGATGATGATAATCATCATCTTTATCTTCATCTTGATCCTTTTTTTTTACTTATGTTTGTGTTACTATTTCATAAAAGTTAATATATGATAACCAAGGGAATGATGGAGATGATGAAGATGAAGACTTCGTCTCTTTGCCTCTCGAAAACTTTTCCTTCGGGATAAAAAGTTTTGTCTCTTCCTTGTGTCGATTATTATTTCTGTATATAAATAATAATAATAATAAATATCTATTTATTTGATGAACCTCTTCAATATCATCAATGAGATAATATCCTCTCTCTCTTTATATACTCTCACCGTTATTGTTATCAAATTATTCACCATGAAACTTCATGAGCAAAATAAAAGTCTATAAGGTGTTACCAGGGAAATGAATGTCAATGAATGATAATCATATTTGCTCATGAGCATCTTGCAAATTTTACTATTTTTTTTATCTTCATCATCAACATTTCATGATGTATATTTATCCATTGAATAGTTTTTAAGATATTGTATATCTCATATGTATTCAGATAATTGAGACTCAACTTTTTTTTCCTCTTCCTTTCAAACACGAATTCAACCTGATCAACTAATGA